CTAGCACTTGGGCGTTTGTTAGTTGATGCTCTTGGGGGAGTATTATCACCCAAGTGGAGTCAATGCATTTACTATATATTATATGTATACACGTATTTTAAGTAAGCATAAGTAATTTCCCCCATGTCTTTCTTTTTTCATAATATTTTTATGGATTATTTGGGAATTTGACATCATGAATCCTGAGCACACTCTATTCCCAGTCTTCCCAGGTCTCCCCCCCTCCATGACTTCTTGCCCCCACACCAAGGAAAAAGAAGAAAAAGAAAACAAGTCCAATTTGTATTGTCCATATACTCACTGGAGCATAGTCAAACTCTTGGTGGCCAGCCCCTTAAAGAGAACTGAGTCTTTCCCACCCACTCTCCTGCCAGAAACAGTCAGATGTGGAGAGCTACACTTCAGCATCCTTAGCACAATCTTTAAGAGTTCTCTTCAGTGGCTTTCTGTCTAGGCTATTAGTGTGTGTGTGTGTGTGTGTGTGTGTGTGTGTGTGTGTGTGTGTGTGTGTGTGTGTGTGGTAAGGGGTGAGGTGGGGGAGGAATTTATCTCTCTCTCAGCTGTGAGTCTGTAGTCATCAATACCATGGCAAAAGCAGCTTCCCTGCTCTTTGCAGTCAGCAGGAGCACTGATCATGGACTTCCACATGGTTTCTGGAGACAGCGTGGACCATCCACATGGTCTCCAGTGTCAGCGTGTGCCATAGACCTCAGCATAGTCTCCAGTGGCAGTACAGACCTCGGACATCAACACAACCCCTGCCACAGTAGGACCATGGGACCAGACATGCCTCTCAGTGGCAGCATGGACCCAGACATCACCATGGCCTCAGGTGGCATCACAGGCCACTCACATCTATATGGCCCTCAGTGGTAGCACAACATGGACATGAACGTGGCTTCAGGCTGTAGCACAGACCGTGGACATCATCATGGCCCTTGGAGGTAATACAGGCCTCGGACATAAACACAAAACCCAGCTGCGGTAGAACCACAGACCTAGACGTGGTCCTTGGCAGCAGCACAGACCCAGACATCATCCTGGCCTTAGGTGGCAGTGCAGGCCATTCATATCAATAGAGCCTCCAGTGGAAGCAAAGCCCACGGACATCAGCATGGCCTCAGGCAGTGGCCCAGAACAAGGACATCTGAATGGCCTTCAGTGGTACCGTAGGACATGAACATGGCTCCCAGCTGTTGTAGGACCACAGACATCCACATGAATTTTGGGCTTCAACATGGCCTGGGGCAGTAGACCATGGATACCAAAGTGGCCTACAGGGAAGCATGGACCATAGAGGTCTTTTGAGGAGATCCAATTCAGAAAATGATCGGTTTTCGTCTTGGACATCCTGTTGTTGCTCAGAACCAGGGAGATGGTGTGGCTGGGCAGTGTGTGTGTGTGTGTTTGTGTTGGGAGGTGGGGGGTGGCTGAGTCAGAACACAAGTCCAGGCTGCTGCACACCATCCTGTTGGCCCTACACCATGCTCACCCATCCACTGCAGGCTTCTCTCACACCTATCTCCGCTGTCTCATTTCTAGTTCCACCTCTCTACCACTCACTCACCAATCTTTATCATTTCCATCTCTGCATTGAATATTCATTTGTCATTTGTCACACTGGTAGTGGAAACTGCGGTGTCACACACACACACACACACACACACACACACACACACACACACGTACACACATGCAAACACAAGCATTCATTGCAATGAGTCGTTGGTCTGGTTCAAGGTTTCTGGTTTGTAAATGTTGGACCATTGCTGAGACTCGTCTCAGATACCCGGCTGTTGCCAGAGTCATGGTGATTCTGCAGCTCTGGTTCCGCAGTACCGGCTCCTTCACACGATCCAGCAGCTCGTAGATGGGGTAGGTGTTGGGGTAGACCGACTCAGAGCACTGGATCTGGGCCCAGATGGCAGCTGAGTGGTGAGCCACTGGCGGGGCCGGCCTGGCTTCTGTCACCACTGCTGGCAGCGGGCCCCTATGGCTTTTCAGGCATCTTTCTGAATTGTCCTCTCTCCCCCTTCTCACTTAATGACACCCATTTCCCTCATTCATCCCAGCTTCATAGCTCCTGTGTCTTACTGACCTGCTTTCTAGAGCTTCTTCTCCCCCCACCCCACGCCCCCTGTGCCATGGTCCCTTTCTACTTTTTACTTTAGGATACTCACATCCGAAGATTAGGAGCCAGGATCCACAAATAAGAAAGAACAGTGTTTGTCTTTCTGGGTCTGGGTTACCATGCTATGTATATTTTCTAGTTCCATCCATGTACCTGAAAATTTCAGTTTTCTTTACAACTGAATAGAATTCCATGTATCATATCTTTAACAACACAAAGTGGTAAAAATTCAGGTGTTTCTTAGTTTGGTTAAGGAGGTGAGACTACTGTGTGCATTGGAGATTGAGAAGTGGTTTTAATGTTTAGCTGGGAAACTTCCAGCAAGCGGTGAGCTCCTAAGATGGCCTGATCAGTCCAGTGTAAGGGCAGTCCCTGGCTCGGGGCCAGCTTGAACTGTGGCTTTGCTTCTTCCTAATGCAGGATGCCTCAGTCTTCCTTCTCTGTCATCCTAATGTTGCCCACAAGATGGTCATGACTGACTTGGTGAGAAGAGGTGTAAGAGGAGCCCTGTACAGCTCCTCCCCTCTCCAGGCTCCCGTCTGTGTTTCAGGTAGAGGTGCTCAGACCAAAACTTCAGAAACGTGGTACAACACAGATCTGAAATCTGTGCATAAAACAGCTTTTCAAGATGCATTTGATAGGGCTGGAGAGGTGGCCCAGTGTTTAAGAGTATGTTTCGCTCTTGCAGAACACCTGAGTTTTCTTCTCGGCACTCACCATCAGGCAGTTCCAAATTGGCCTGTAGCTCCAGCTCTTAGGGGATCCGATGCTGTCTTCTGGTATCTATGAGCAACTGCTCACAAATGTGCATATACAGCCTCCTACACACACACACACACACACACACACACACACACACACACACACACACATTATATAATTAAAAAATTAAACAATTTTACAAATCTTAAAATGCATTTGATGGTGCCTTCTAAGTGAAATTTTCTGAAGCAGTAGATGTCCTTAGTTTGTCAAAATAGATATGGAGGTTATGGATAAGATGACAGTTCCGCCAGTGATTTTTTTTTTTTAAATCTAAATGTGAATGTAGGTGGGGGAGGGGGGGTTACCACCTTTCTAATAAACCCGGTGGAGTGACGTGAACACATATCTCTGAAATCAAATCTTTGCTTTTCCCTTCCTAAGTGTAACTGTTAGCATTGTGTGTGTTAGTTCTATCTGGTCTGGATAGCTATCCCCCCCTCCCCCATGGCAGTACTTCCATGTGAACACTTGATTGAAAGAAAGTAAAGTTAGAACTTTCTTTGCTAGCCCATTCCATTGGGAAAACATTGGGGTTAAGTCCACGAGTAATTATTTAGAGCAAGGATTTTGGTTTTCTTAAATCATGTTCATTTGACGTCTCTGTTGGCTTTGGCCTTTGCTGGAAACGCTATTCAGTTTTCAGATTCTTATTTTTATGTGTATGGGTTTATGTGTGTGCACTATGTACACACAGTGCCGGAAGAGAACATTAGCTCCTCTGGAACTGGAATTACAGACTATTGTGAACCATCATGTGGATGCTCAGAACTGAACCCAGGACCTCTGGAAAGAGAAGCCAGTGCTCTTAAATGCTGAGCCATGTCTCCAATCCCTTATTCAGTTTATAATTGGACAAGATTCAGAATGTATACTGTCCTTAGCATAGTTAAAAATGTTCCTGGCAAACACATGTTGAGAATCTGTGTGTACAAATACAGATTTGTATCGATAGATGGAAGGACTGTTTACTCATATTTATGCTCTCTGGCTTTTTAGTCCACATGGTCCTAGTTTTGTTGTTTATTGTCGGAAAGGCAGAAAGTAAAGGATTAAGGCAGATTAGTGTTGATGCTCAGAAATAAAATCCCTCCAAATCTAGATGCTGCAAAAGCAATATTAGCAAAATTACTTGGGGTTGGCATGGAGACTAGGTAGGTATCTGTGTGGTGAAGGATAGTCGCTTTTTGGAATCTGTACCATGCAGTGCAGAATTTGCTCAGTATGTGGGGGCTTTGTTGATGAGTCACTGTCTGAAAGTGACCCAGATAATCATCGTTAGGGAGAGCATCTGCCTGTGGCATAGTGTCCTGACAGACTCTCTTATATCTGAAAGACAGGAGAGTCTGCTCCAAAGAGTACCATGCTAGGGTTTAGTAAGGATAAGAGCAACGTCAGTGTAGCTACAGTATTAAGTCAGCTGTATGGTCAGAGCCTCCCATTTTATTATCTCAGATGAATTAAAAGAGAGGCATTTTCCCTGGTGTTGGTGGCCATGGGGTAGAGCACTTGGCCTTTGTTGAGGCACCCTAGTTTAATTTTTTTATTACATTTATTTGGGCTGGGACATGCCACTGTAAAGGTCAGAAAACAATTTGCAGAAATTGGTTCTCTCTTTCCACCAGTGGATCCTGGGGGTAGAACTCAGGTTGTCCAGCTGAGCCTTCTTGTCAGACCAAGGCACCCTGCTTCAAAACAGGCATGATATTTCACTGATAGCAGGAAGAAGTCCTAGCCTCTTAAGATTAAAGGCACTGCTGTTCTTGTAACAGCACATTTTTAACATTCTGAAGCTGAGAGGCACATAGTTGGCATCTGTCTTAGTTCAGGGAGTGGTCGTCTTTAGTGGCTAGTGAGTTCTTTCCACGTCTCATGTATAAGGTATTTGTGGGTCAAACACTATACTTTTATTAATGCCATTGTATTGAAACTTGGGAAGTGAAGATTATGTTGATTAGTGGTGGTGGTGGTGGTAAATATTTTTATCCTGGGGAGCAACAACAGGAAAGGTTTTAATAAGAGCAGCATGTGGGGGTGTGGACGGTGGAGGGGGAGTAGGACTATCTGAGGCGTTTTCTTAACACTGCTTTCTTCTTTGAATTTCTAGTCTTTATAACCTGGCTTCACTGGAACTGAGAGAGAATCTTCTTACGTACCTTCCTGAGTGAGTCTCTGGGGAAAATAAGGGGATTTTGTGCAGAGTGACTGGCAGTATAGCCCCTCCTGAGCGGTCTTCCTGCCACATCCACATGAACCATGCTTTCTTTAGGAAACTAGTCCAAGACAGGAAGTGCACTACTCTGTGTGCCTCAAGCCTTCTCTGAGCATCTTTGTTGTGGGTTGTTTCAACAGCTCTCTTGCCCAACTGAGGAGACTCGAAGAACTCGATTTAGGAAACAATGAAATCTATAATTTGGTAAGTGTATATCTGAGGGAGTTGATGTTTTTTGTCCTCATAATCTCAAGTGATTTTGAGGAGTTCAGTAGGGATGTATTTCTTCAGGTACAGCTAGGAATCATGGGGAATGTGCTTCCGTTCACAGTGGTTGAGAAATACGGTTTGGGAGAGTCAGGACTAGTGGGGTGGTCATGAGGGGAGGTGTTTGCATTCTAGGGAAGAGTTTGGATAGTTTTAGGAGTGGAGTCTTGATAGAAGAGAAGTAACAACCAACCCGGCTGTGGTACCCTCTTCCATTTGATGATTCTTTCTCCCATAATAGAAGATGGAGGTCTAGGGCCTTGTTACTATGATGTTACCTTTTGTTCCAGCCAGAATCAATTGGGGCGCTCCTACATCTGAAGGATCTCTGGTTGGATGGAAATCAACTGTCTGAATTACCTCAGGTAATTTAGTGTCTCCCAAAATATACAGCAACAGCAGTAAACTGTGTGTCTTTCCTGCTTCTGTGGGGCTTTCTAGAAGACCTCAGAGATAAGAAACCTTGTTTAAAAAACACATTTGCAAATAGGCCCTGAGCTTTCCCCATTGTGCAGTGCCACGGGAGAAGACCTCAGAGATAAGAAACCTTGTTTAAAAAACACATTTGCAAATAGGCCCTGAGCTTTCCCCATTGTGCAGTGCCACGGGAGATTGAAAACCCAGCCCGCCGTCTCTAAAGATGCCGAAGTCTGTACTTCATCTCATTCTCCCTGCCCAGGATAGTTTACTTCAAGCCCAGCAGACCTGTGGATTATAAAGACCATAGTTAAGACAGTATAAATCTCTGCCTCTTTTAGTGATGTGCCCAAGTGCTTTAGGATCATTTTTTTTTTTTTTTTTTTTTTGGTTTTTCGAGACAGGGTTTCTCTGTGTAGCTTTGCGCCTTTCCTGGAACTCACTTGGTGGTCCAGACTGGCCTCGAACTCACAGAGATCCGCCTGGCTCTGCCTCCCGAGTGCTAGGATTAAAGGCGTGCGCCACCACCGCCCGGCAGGATCATTTTTTAACTACATTTTTCCCCTGTGGTAGTTAATGTAAAGTAGTATTAAGAGCTCCCCCTGCCCCCGCCCCCAATAGCACTCTCGGATGAAGCTGGTGTACCACGGCGTTTAGTCTTTTCTCTACTGTTGTCAGATGTGAGACCCATGTTCTAAATGAAATGGCCCTTGAGCCATTTCCTTCTTCAGAGTGGAGTCTAGCAGGCAGGTCTAGTTTCAGATAGATCAAATGAGAAACTCCCCCCAAAAGCTTTCTCCAGCACAACAGGCGTTTCTTATTGTTACCTCCTTTTTCTCTGTCACAGGGTTTGAATCTTGAGTGTTCACAGACTGTGCCTTTCATGGTGCGGATGGTCCCGTTTACAAACGGTTTGCATGCTGCCCACTTGCTTGTGTGGCCCAGTCATGATGGGGCTACGAGCTGTGGGTGGGGAGTGACAGGGAGAAGCCAGGAAGTCTGACACCAGAAGGACACACTCAACTAAAATGTAGTTGTCACTGTGACGGCACTGAGGTTCTCATGATGTCACCTAGTGACTAATGGAACTGAGAAACTAGACTCTACTTCTGAGATGTGGGCTGCAGTCCAGAAAGAGAAACAGATAAGTCACTTGTGGTAGCCGTTGACTAATGCTTAGATTTCCCTGGAACACGTGTGAAATTCTTGCCGGAGAACTCCTGGATGGGGGAGAATGCTATGGAATACCAGGAGTGTGATAAAATACTAGCCGTGTGACATTAAAAGGGGAGAACACATGGCTGTGCAGATGTGTATAAATGACTGTGTGGCATGTGGCATTCTAACCCCAAAGGAGTTGCCTCTCCTGTGGATTACACTGTAAGTGCTTATTTAAAAGTCTCCTTTGCCTCTAGCATCAAGTTGTGCTAAACCCAAAGCCCCCTTTAGACTCTGTGGCTGTGATTCATATAGTTTATCATTTTTATTGGAAAGGGGTCTAGAAATTTACTCAAGTTTTTACACCTAGATATGTATTAAAATAACATACTTAGAACGGAGGTCTTAAATTGTTTTATTTTTGTATTTTATGTGTGAGTGTTTTCCTGGCATGTATGTATGTCCACCACATTTGTGCAGTGCCTCCCAGAGGCTTGAGGAGGGTGTTGGATCCCCTGGGACTGGAGTTGCAGATGGTTATATACTTGCATGTGGGTGCTGGGATTGAACCCAGTTCTTTTGGCAGAGTAGCCCATGTTCTTTATCACCGAGCTATCTCTCTAGCCTCAGAACTCAGGATTTTTTTTTTTCCTTTTGGTTTCTTTGAGACAGGGTCTCTCTGTGTAACAGTCCTGTCCATCCTGGAACTCGCTTTGTTTACCAGGCTGGCCTCAAACTCACAGAGATCTGCCTGTCTCTGCCTCCCAAAGAACTGGAGATTTATAAAAACAGTTTTTCATATATATATATACATATATATATGTATGAAACATACATTTTTATATGTATATGTACATATGTATATATAGAATGTATTTTGATCATATCCACCCTCCACTCCCCTCCTCCAACTCCCCTTACTCTGCTTCATCTCCTCCCAACTTCATGTCCTCTTTTTTTCCCTTTTCTTTTGGACCCAGTAAGTCCAATAAGTGCTGCCCATATGCACATGGGTATGGCCCACCTACCATGGGCCGTGCTCTTAAAGAAAAAGGACTCTACTTTCTCCAGCAGTCTTCAGTTGCCAGTAGCTCCTCACTCGGGAGGGCGGGTGAGACTTTGTGAGACCCTACCCAGTCTGGGCTCGAGTTTTGAACAGCTTGATCTTGTGCAGACAACCACATGTGCTGTGAGGTCATGAGTCCAACAGTCAGGTCATGTCCAGTGTTTGACAGCATTCACCCCCATCTTCTAGCTCGTACATTCCTTCTGCTCCTGTTTCTGTGATGTAGACCTGAGGTTTGGTTGTGAAAAGCCCCGATAGCAAATTCCGTCGTGCTGTGCCAGCTTCAAGCATGTGTTTCTCTTTCTGTGCCATTCTCACAGGAAATAGGCAATCTGAAGAGCCTGCTCTGCTTAGATGTCTCTGAAAACAAGTTGGAAAGACTTCCTGATGAAATCAGTGGCCTGACTTCTTTAACAGACTTAGTCATTTCCCAGAACTTACTGGAAACAATTCCTGATGGCATTGGTAAGTATTGAAAAGTAGCAGACATAGAGTTCCACCTGCTGTGGTCTTGAGCATTTGGAACTCACTCGAATTCTTTGCTCATCGCTGTTCAGTGCTGGGAATGTGGCTCCTCATTGCTTGTTTTTTAGAAGGAAAGCAGGGGATAGCAAATACGTCTCTCCATCCTGGTTTGGAGAAACCTGTAATATTGTTACTTTCAAGTGTTGATTCATGTCTACTTTATCTGAGCTCTATAATTATAAAAGTGACTAGTCACAGTTAGAGGACGTGTGTAAGGCCAATGAGCAGTCACTAGGATGTTTTATATGAGAATCCTAAACAGTCCATGAGAGTGTAGCTTGGACATCACTAAGAACTTAGGTCTTTTTGGACTCCATCCTCTTGATGAGAGTGCATTGGGAAGGTGCTTTTAAAGGGGACAGTCAAGCCAGGCGGTGGTGGTGCACGCCTTTAATTCTAGCACTTGGGAGGCAGAGGCAGGCAGATCTCTGTGAGTTTGAGGCCAGCCTGGGCTATAGATCAAGTTCCAGGACAGGCTCCAAAGCTACACAGAGAAATCCTGTCTCAAAAAACCAAATAAATAAATTGTGATAAATAAATGAATAAATGAATAAATGAATAAATAAATAAATAAATAAATAAATAAATAAATAAGAGGACACTGATAGAGCTGGTTATTTTTTAATATGCTGGGAGAGATCTTTTAACCATCCCTTGCTATTTATTTATTTTCTTTCTCCCCTCCCCTCACTATGTAGCCCTGGCTGTCCTGGGACTTGCTGTGTAGACCAGGCTGGCCTTAAACTTACGGAGCTCTGCCTGCCTTTGCTTCCTAAGTGCTGGGATTAAAGGCGTGCACCACCACACGACACCCACTCCATTTCCTTTCTTTAAAGGAACTTAGACCAGTGTGAGAAATTAGTACAGAATGTGATGGAACAAGTGTTGTTACTTAAGCTGTGAAAAACGTTTCTTATCATATTGTCTTTCTTGTCTTATTATTCAAGGGCCTGAACTTGTTCTTCTTTAAATAGAGATTTTCATAATGTTTTCCGTATATGCATTTCTAATCCTGTAAGAAAGAGACATGTCTGTTAATGTGCTTTTTTTGGTTCTTCATTTGTTTGAATTTCTCAGGTAGAAAGCCTTATAATACAGAAATTTTGAAAACAGAACCAAATCAGAGTTTTTGTTTGCTTGTTTTGCACAGCTGTTTAAAATGTTAATTTTTAGATGTGTGCTAATAATTAAAACATGCACACCCACAGAGACAGAGACAGAGAGACAGAGATAGAGTGTAATCGCAGGGACTGATGGCCCCATCACAGTAGTGCTGCCCAGCGCCTGTCTGGAACTGTGTGTAACCACAGATTGTCATAAGAGTATGGAGAAGAGTGTGGCCAAGGACCTCTTCCTTTCTGGTATTTGGTCAGGATGAAAATGACAACTGATGATGGTCGGCACCAGTTGAAAAGCAGATGAGGATTCTGACTTTCTAGAAATGTTTATTTAGAACCATCTGGGGCATCAGGTGCTGTAGAAACTGGATGTTTTGATGCTTGGAATAGGAGCTGACCTGCTGTGGGCATTAAAGGACTGTCTCTGGCAAGGCCCTCTGTTGTAGGCTTAGTAGATATTGAGGTTCAGATGGGCAAAAGGAGAGTTTCCTTCGAAAAGCTTTGAAAAACAAAGGTAATGGCTACAAATTACCTTGCACTTCTTCGTGAAGAAACAAGTGCCCTGTCACTTGCCTGTCACTTGAACTATTCGAGCTCTCAAACTCCTAGCTGGGAAGAGGGTTCAGGAGCTGTTTCAAGCTGCACTGTGCCCTGTGGATAGTGCCTGCATATCTCCTGATAGCAAGGGCCTGTGGGGATCCACCAGGGACTTAGTTCGATATTGATTCTGCTCCACAGTGAGCTAAGGAATGACTCGTCCTTCCTTGCCCCAGGGCTCTGCCCAAGGCCAGAGAGCTCTTCCTTCACTTCTCCTTCCCCAGCATCATGTCTGTCTTTGTGTAGAAGTGATCCTCTCCTTTAATGGGGAAGGTGTCCTTGCTAGGATCTCAGTAGATAATGAAGAGTGCCTCCGCTGTTGGTTTGTTTCCCTGGGGACTTGGAGGTGGCCCTTCACTCATTCCTCAGACACGGTCCTCTTCCATCCACAGAACAGCTCCTGCTCTTACAGATGCATCAGTAGCTAACTGTTGGTCCTTCATGGAATTTTCTGGCTTTTTTTAGTTAGCCCTTTCAAACGATTTGTTTCTAATTGCCGACTTTCTGATGTGCCGAACAAATTACTCTTAACACTCAACCTTTAGTGATCTAAATGAGAGTGTTACAGTTTCGGTTTGAAAAGCTGGTTGAAAAAAAAATAAGTAATTATTTAAAACAAAAAAGAACAGCAGAGAGGAAAAAAAACCAAGTGGTGGTTAGGTGAAGAATCACGACTAATGAGTCTAAATGACACTTTTATAGGAAAACTAAAGAAACTGTCAATCTTGAAGCTGGATCAGAACAGACTCACACAGTTGCCTGAAGCCGTTGGGGATTGTGAAAATCTCACGGAATTAGTTCTTACAGAAAACTGTCTCCTGGTGAGTGCCTTGTGTGGCTGGGGTGAGTTCAGTTCTTTGCACCTGCCACAGTGAGGTGTGGCCTGAAGACCAACTTTCGCTGCATAAGCAAAGTGGATGTGGGCTCCATCCTCAGAGCGTGGGCACTGAGCTCACACCTCACAGAGATCCCTGGTGAAGCCTGCCTGTAAGCTATGTTAGTGTACCCAGAAGAAATGAGAAAGCCCTGGGGGATGGATGCTTAGACTGCTCTGTGTTCTGAGCTGGAGAGTGGTGTTGGAAAATTTTGACCGCTGCCGTCTCTACCCTAAAAACCAGGACTGAGGGCAGCTGCCCAGACTCACAGTTTGGCCAAGCTTCCTCTCCCTACCAGGGGCAAAGACTGCATGCACCACCTCCTGAGGGTGGGTCAGCACGGTGGCAGCCAGTGTCTGCTGTCTGTCCCCTTCCCGTCTCCCTTGGCTTCATCTGCCAGGCCCTGCTCATCTCCTCTTCCTCTGCTATAATTGTCCTGTACGTGCCCTTTTAAGAAACAAGTACTTTGCTCTTTTTGCTGTCTTTCTACCCTGTGTTCCCTTCTTGTCTTTCCTCCTGCTTCCCCTTTCTCAAGTGTTATTAAGTGAAGTGGTGTCCTTTAGGTGGAAAGAGCAGTCAGAGCCTACGGAGAGCAAAAACTTAGACGTGGTGGGTCCTCTCGGGGTCCTTCCTTAGATAGCTATCCTCTGGCAGGCGTGGCTGAAGTTCCCAGGTCATCCTGTCTTAGTGGTGGCTTTAGGCTTACAGATAGAAACCATAACAGTTACAACTAAAGTCGCCCTCAGATTCTGCTGTGAGGTTCCAGAGCCCCTGGGAGCCCGCCTGCTGCTGTAGCACTCTGCTGAGCATGCCAGGCCCGCTTACCCTTCTCGGCACCCACCCTGGTCTTTCTGTGCCCCTGGCCCCACAGCACCCATGCGACATTCTAGCGTCCACGTGTCAAAGCCGCCATCCACCTGTGGTGGTCTGGTATGCTGGAAGGGCACGTAGAAACCTTGAGGGTGTAAATACACACTTTGTTGAGTGGAAGAATAGTACATTCCCCTGTCTCCACCTTTGATTTAATTTCTTTCAAACATACTATCATATCAACAGAAATTTAGAATACTTAATTACATTTCCCTAAGTGACCATTACAGACATCTCATATTCAGGAAGAAGTATTTTCTTTTGTTGATACTCTTAAAGTCCTTGTAAATAATTGCTTTTTCTGCTGAACTGTGTAAAAAAAAAATGTGATAAGCTAATAACGAACGTATTACTTTAACAGACTTTACCTAAGAGCATTGGAAAACTTAAGAAGTTGAACAACTTGAATGCAGACAGAAATAAACTGGTGTCTTTACCAAAAGAGGTACGTGCCACTAAAGAAATAATATGGTAATAATGGTGATACGTAAGGGATCAGAAGTGTCCACCAGTGGTTCCTTCTTTCTTTTTTTTTTTCTTTTGTGTTTAAAAGACTTGTGGTGCATTTAGAGAGTGTGAGTATGAACCTGCGGAGGACTGCATCCAAGAATACGTGTCAGGTACATTAGAGAGTGTTGATTGATGGGATTTTAAGTTGAGGGAAGAGAGTGGTGTTTTGGTCCAAAGAGAATGACTATTGACAGAAGTGGGTAATTTGGGAGTTTGCCAGAGAACGTGGGTGATTTGGGGTTTAACTGTTGCATTTAACTGCAAACCATTATTGTGCTTATAAAAGTGGACCATCACGCAGCCCTATTTCTTGGCAGAGATTTAGGTCAGGCCACGTTAACGTCTAGGATGGGAATCCTTTCTCAAGGCACACCTACGGAGGAAGGCCAGCAGGAAGCTGCCTTCTCCACCACTACTAGTGAAAAGAGACAACCACTCTCTATTGTGGAGAGTGACTGGGTTCTTCCGAGGCTCCTAACGTCCCTCAGAGGGGGTGGACATGCTAGCTGAAGAGAGAGCCCCCAGTGAATGGAGCACGGAGGTGTCTAGTGTCCTTTTTGAAAGGTTTACTGCGTGCTGAGAGCTGGGAGAGCTGTCCTGGAGGAAAGAGGAAGACTGAGCCTGCCTTTTCGCTCTTGTTTTTAGTGTTCGTCACATAGCCAAAAGCTGAGTTTCTGGTCCTTTCCTTCCCCTTTATCGAATAGCTGTTGGTGAGACTTCCTGGTTGTTGGGTCCTCATAGAAAAAGCTTCTTTCCTCCACGTGATCATTGGCCAACTTAGTCTTGTCTCTATATTCTCTCCTCTGGCCTTTTCACCATCTGTCTCGGAATAATTTCAAAGTTGGCGTCTGACCAGCCAGACTTCAGGGCCACCTCTTTTCTTTTCCAAGGGCTACTTTACAGGGTGTGTGGGCTTCCCCTTTCCCTTTCTCAGCTTGGGTCTCTGCTCCCAGTGCCCAGCGTCTTCTGGGTAAGTTAGATAACCTCCCTGAGTGGAAGCAAGAGGATACAGACTGAAAACTGGACACATTTCTAATCAGACATACCCTTAACGTGAGCTATCACATCTAAGTAAAACTGTCATCAACAGAAGGACTCAAATCTCCATCGCAGTCAAACTGGGACACAACTAAGATTCTGCTAATCAAAACATTTTGCTGCTAATCTGTAAGCAGTCGACCAAAACACAGCTGATAGTGTGAGCACTAGTTTTTCCCCTTCTGGGTGGGGAATGGATCGGATGCAGAATCAGCACAAGGAGATTTCTCTCTTTCTTCCTTAATGCTCTGCATGGTGTGTGGTGCTTCTGTGCCGCTCCACTCACTCAGGCTTTTGAAGTCATGATGATTTCCTCAGTTCACAGATACAAAAACTGAGGACAGTCGGCTTTAGCCCCAAAGATGATGCTCCCAATCACTATGACGGGACTGTAAAAACAGGGCAACACAAGGGATTCAGATTCAGCATGGCCTTTTCATCTGTGTGTCCTGGAGATTGTACAAAACCTTGATTCAGTAAAGAAAGGTCAAGTGACCTTTAGTCTGGGCATTCTAGAACATCAGTACAGCTTAAGGGGTATTTTTGAGGCAAATGCTAAGGAGAGCACTTTAAAGTTTAATAACAACATTCTCCCATTGTATTTGGGTGGCTCATGAATTCTTTTTTCCAGGGAGACATTTTAGGGGAGAATCTTACGAATTTTTTATTATGAAATTGCTACTGTCATTTTAACAATGAGTTGTCTGGTTAAAAAAAATGAGTCTTCAGCAGTGTTTCCGATTAGAGAGTGACACATGGCACCTTCTGTGTCTGCTTACATCCACTGCAAAAGTATTTTTAGCTTTAAAGCATTTGTGCTATTACATTTTATCTATTTTCTGGGAAATTGTGATTGATTTCCTGGCATGTAGAGTTTTATAAGTGAATAAAACAGATACTTTTTTCTTCAGCCTCTAGATAAAGCAGAAACGTTTCCATTTTTAGGAGTGAGATCTTTCTAGACTATCTTGAGCCTTAAAACACACACACCCAGATCCCAGGATAAGCAAGTCACCGAGTGTATGTCTCTGGCTCTGCCATGGATCACAGTTTGGTACCCAGCAGAAATCGTCTGACTGTTTGTCTCATCGGGGCTGACCAATTAAACACAAAGTGTGTCCCAGCCACATGTCAAGTCACCGGTGTGTACAGTTAGTGTAGTCTGCCCTGTGATTGTCTGTGTGTGAGCACCAGCTCTGCCTCCATGCCTGATTTCTTGGAGTCTTCCCTTTGGAAAACGTATTACCTTTTTTCCTTGATCTATTAAGTTGCATACATGGCATATCTAAGCTAAGACAAAAACGAGTCAATTTTTGTGTCCCAAGTCCATAGTTGTATAATTGCTGTTGGTTTGCTGTGTCTGTAGTTTCCCCCATATCGTCTCTCATCATCTTATTTGATGGTATTTGATATCGTCAGTCTTACAGCACAGTTCCTCACTCCCAACCGCATGTATTCCCATCTAGTTTCCCAAATGACTGAGGGGAAGATGTTTGTACTGTTGGGTCACAGTAAAGGATCCTGTTTGTGTTTCGTGGTGTCCTTTGTAGTAAACATTTGGAAATGAATGAATGTCTCTTGTTTTCTTACTTGTTAGCTGCTTGGAGTTTTAGAAAAGTCAGGTAAACTTGTCATCTTGTAAGTATCGTTCTGACTACAGTTACGTCTCCAACTCCCGTTTTGCTTCATAAGTGCATGAAGATTCAAACTGTCTGACTGCTCTGTGTGTTCATCCTTGTAAACCATGGGCATTTTCTCTCCAAATAAATGTAATAACTGCATGGCCTGGACTCTTGTATCGTTATGTGTTTCTCACATTTGTTCAGATTATTATTTCACAAAAGAATGCTTTTCTGTGACTTAGATTGTAAGTTACTCAGAAATTCTGAAAGGCATCTTTTGCCACCTCATCTGCCTTCACTACATTGTGCTCTGTCGGCATGATTCCAGCTTGTGGTGGAAAGGCTAAACCTGGCTCATTTGCAACACATGGCATGCTTCTGAGCTCCCAGCCACTTACTTGTGTGTTTTATTTCTCACTCTGTTGCTTAAGTTTATATTCTTCTGGGAAAGGGGAAGAGTTAAGGGGATGAAAATGCAGGAGTGTGATTTGTAGGTGGGCAGGGAGCCAGTGTGTGATTGTGGGTCTGATGAATGAGGGTAGTGCCTTCAGGATTCCCCAGCCAAATGCTACCTTGAAACACCTTCTGGCTAAAAGAAATTGAGCATATGGCTAAGTTTAGACTACAGAGGGCATTTTTTGCTCGTTATTTTTGTCTGTATTGGATCAAACTGAGAAAGGTACCCCAACTATGTCACACCTGTTTGGTCAAATGGGCTACAGTAGAGTTCGTAGGACATTCATATATATATATATATATATATATGTGTGTGTGTGTGTGTGTGTGTGTGTGTGTGTGTGTGTATTTAGGCAGTGTGTAAATATTAATTTCCTGTAAATACTCCGATATTCAGAAATGTTTATGATGTTAGAGTATTTATTTCACAGCTTTTTGCCTTATACTTTAAATTTGTTTGGGTCTAAGTTGCCCTTGCATTTTAAAATTAGTGATAATAAATATAATATAAAACCTATACATATTAAAATAAAATACAATTGACCCTGAGATCTGAAGACTGAGAATGCATTCCTAAATTTGAAACAGGAAATAAATCATAAAAGAAATGGTTAACAGGGTTGAAGGGATGACTCAGTCAGAAAATGCCTGCCACACAAGCATGAGGCCTGAGTTCAGTGCCCGGAGGCCCTCGTTAAGAAAAGTGGAGCATGTAACCCCAGCACCGCGGAAACAGGGGTTCCTGGGCCTTCCTGGCCTGCTAGCTTAGCCTGATGAGGGAGTTCCAGGCAAACGAGAAACTTGTCTACAAAATGGGAGAATGGGACTTGAGAAAAGATGAGCTTGCCACCCAGCCTTCAAATGCACACTAAGATTCACATGCAAGCAGGCGCACACACAGTTGGTGAGTGTGATGGTTTTGTCTACCTGGAAGATTCCTTGTCTGAAAGAGGATTGAAAACAGTTTATGGGTAGGAAGACATTTAATCTCAAATGAAGAAAATCTTAACTGTTATCAGAAAGTCCTTCATGTCACTGAGCAAAAGATGTGTCTGTCATGGAAAAGTAAGCAAAACCAAAAACAAGTGATACCCAGAAAGGGAGAGTATGGGGGAAATTCATCTCATCGGTTTTCACAGAAGTGAGAAGACATTTTAATATATCAGAATTTTAAGGTTTTAAGTGAAATGCCAAATGTTGACAAATATTGCAGGGAAAATACATATTATTGTGTAAGTATAAATTGCTGGGGCTGACATTTTACTCTTCCGTTTCTAGAAATTTATTCTTAAGAAAATAGTCCATTCATATTAAGACACACACAAGACTTGTTTCTCAGATTTTAGACAGGAGCATCAAACATGCCCCAGGTACCATCCCTGTCCTGAGTGTATACAGAGGTGGCTGTCATGTACCAGTCCCTTGTGTCAAGTTCTTGTCTGATTCTTACAGTACTTTTGTGAGGTGTAGACAAGTCAGTATCACCATCTACCAGATGATTAAACTAGTGCAGAGAGAGGCAAAGAGGTGCTGGGAACTAACGGGCACCATCAGCCGTGGATGTTTGTGAAATAATCTCTTATATATCTGAAGGGGGTAGTATTGTGCGGCCAGTAAAATCCTTGAGAAATTTAATGGCAGTAGAACATATTCTTGATGATATATATGCTGAAGATCATAGTGTCTTGTTCTTTGTGTGGTCCAATAATTTGTGGAATCTCCAAACCATGTAATTTCAAAAATGTTCATGAAGTGGGGAACATTTTTTTTTTTTGAGACAGGGTTTCTCTGTAGCTTTGGAGCCTTTCCTGGAACTCACTCTGTAGCCCAGGCTGGCCTCGAACTCACAGAGATCCACCTGGCTCTGCCTCCCAAGTGTTGGGATTAAAGGCGTGCGCCACCACCACCTGGCTGAAGTGGGGAACATTTATATAATATAGCACAGGCTCTGAAAAGGATTCTAAAATCATGTATATTATTTTTGTTCACCTTGTATTTCAGGCCAGATTTTGTTTTCTTGTAAGTTTTCCTTTTTGCCTGTGTGATGTGGGTTCTGTTTATGCTACCAATATCGAAAGAACAGTACCATGAGATAGCAGCCTCTTACCTGCAGGCAGCCATTTGCAAGCAGCATGGGTGCCTGACCTAGGCTGCTTCTCTGAATCATCAGTCTGATTATGGTCTTCAGATTGCTCCATAAGAATTCCCCTTTAGAGCAGTGGTTCTCAACCCATGGGTCATGACCCCATGGGGTTGTCAAATGACCCTTTCACAGGGGTTGCCTAAGACGATCAAAAAACACAGATACTTACATTATGATCCATAACAGTGGCAACATTACAGTTATGAAGTAGCAAGGAAAATAATTTTATGGTTGGGGTCACCACAACATGAGGAACTGTATTAAAGGGTCGCAGTAGTGATAAGGTTGAGAACCACTGCTTTAAAGGTTTCCATGGTGATCTTGAGACCTTTCCTAGGCTAACTCAATGGCAGACAGTTAAATATAGGATCATTCTGAATTAACATTGACACAAAAGAGCTAAACTTGGGTTTCCTGCTACATTCTGTAGTTTTTAGAGACTCCAAATCCAAACCCTTGTATTCTTGGAAGGTGTTATTAGTGGTTTCAGGGAGGCTTAAAATACCAGCTTCCTACATAACTGGTAATAGGGTATTTAAACAGTGACTCTGCTTCCCAGAATTTCTAAGTGATAATAGACATTTGATCCTGATGACCGCCAGGGAACCTTCAAATTCTGCCCATGAAACCAAAAGAGAGATCAGAATACACACAAATGATTCAGGGAACATGATAGTGAGCTCATGTCAGTCCTTCACTGATTTTCATGTAAAGGGTATTGGGACATGCAGTCAGGTAGTTCTTACGATGTCCAGGTGAACATGCTTGAGCTCTCTGGTGGCGCATAGGCGATGGATGGAGGGTAGATGGGAGAGGTGGTGCTCTTGTCCAGTGTTCTAACTTTGTGTACATGTGTACAAAGTGGCAATCTCGTCAAGTGCCCGTGAGGATTTCCATGAGACATTTTGTCCTGTTAGAGTATGAAAGAAATGTAGATGGCAGTTTATCACAATGACCAGGGGTTCTGGGAAAGCTATGGAGGGGCTGAAGGACAGTCAGTCAGTTTGGATTACTGGTAAGATTTTTAAAAACAGAAAGAAGAAAGGTGTTTCTATAGGAAGTAATGATGTAGAAATAGAGGGAATAAACTAGTTTTACTGGGATGGGAAACTTGAATTCTGAGACCTGAAAGGGACAGCCTCTGTGCATTGAGGCTGTGTGACAAGAGACAGATCTGTGTGTTTTGTAATGTTAATATGTTTACATCTGTTATGGTTGAACTCTGCAGTTAAATATAGTAATTGGAAATCCTGATATTCTTAGAAGAAGAAATCAAAGGAAAATGCATGAGGTTAACTATGTAGCAATTTTGTAAAGATGTACTGTGCCCTTTTAGGGGTGTTATATTCATGTATTAAGTACACACAGAAGTAAAACAGGGCAGGGGATCTATTCAGACAGCCTTGAGGAGGCCAGACTCTCCCTCTGGTGAGAGGCCCTGGGGTACTACTTTCCCATGTGTCCGAGGGACATCAATGGGTCCCTTCATGAGCTTTCTCTGCTCGGGATGGCAAAGGCCAGAAGAATGCAGTGCTTTATGGAGTCTGGAGAAGGTTGTGTCTGAGATTCCTTTGGTTCAGCCCTTTCTGACTCACAAATCCATGGCCGATTTGTCCAGTAAAGTCTTGAATTAGTGTGTCTTGAAGACCACACATAGGAAGTTCAGCCGCCCTGGAATAGACTTGAATGTGGACGCAGCTCTTGGTATAATGAAGTTGTTGACAGCAAACCGTGGCGAGACAAACTATTCATTTACCAGTGTCGCTTCTCACTAAGATGTTGATGGTTTTGCATTCCTCAAGGGAAAGTGATTTTGCCAAATTAATTTATGAGTGACCAAAAGATACTCAAATATATTTAGTGACAATGCATGTATAATCTATCAGGTCCCTCCCTTCCTTGCTTAACCCTGGAATATTGAAAGCATGGGAGTTATAGGGCAGGCCTTGAGCTGTGTGTACTGGTGGCAGCGTTACCTCTGGCCTAGTATTTTGAAGTAGAATTGTTTAATTCCCTTATGGCTAAATAATACATCCTGGACTTGTGTAGTTTAGTTATCATTTAACCAGTGCGGTGCATTAGGTATCAGCGATGAAAAGTGATAGTTTTCCAAATGAGAGTTTGAACTGTATTAAGTATTTTCTTTATTCAACGTAGAATATGTTTAACATTTTGTATAACTGACAGCTATCAGCATATATTTGGTAATCATATATGCTCACCAGTGAAATTTAAAATTGTATGGTATATTTTATGCATCTTTTTCATGCTGTTGGTAAAATATCCTACCCCACCCCTCCTCAAAAATGGAGAAAAGAACAGATGCGTTTTCTCTCCCACTGTAGATTGGCGGCTGCTGCAACCTCACCGTGTTCTGCGTCCGGGACAACAGACTGACTCGAATACCTGCGGAGGTGTCGCAGGCCATGGAACTCCATGTCCTAGATGTGGCAGGGAACAGGTAAGGAAGGCTTTTGCTGGAGAGAAACAAACATATATGTAGCCCCGTCTTGGCCGTGTTATCTCTGCCGTTGTGGCCTGGCCACCTCTAACGGAGCATAGACTGCCTAACTGCACGACCAGAGGGGTTAGAGAATTCTTGGTGGGGACCAGACTACTAGAGCCAGGTGGAGCATTGACAGCGCACCTGAACTTAGGCTACTTCAGAGCAGAGGGCTTCCTAGATGACAGTGCATCTACAAGACCAGACAGTGGACTGGACGCTCTGCCTTTGCGTCTGTAGCTACTTTCGTAAGTCACAGTGGGCCTTAAGAGACTCTGTCTGCACAATGAGCTTGAAACCGTTTGAATTTTTTTTTTTTTTTTTTTTTGTCCTGAGGCAGGGCAGAGTTTCAGGATGTTGTCGAAGCTAGGCTTAGGCCATCTGCTTGCCCCAGCCTCCCAAGAAGCCTGGACCAGAGTCACATATTACCAAACCTGGCTGAATTTTAAACATGGGTCTTGCTGTTCTGTGCTAGTCATTTTCAACCTCCTGAATCCATAAATAAAGTTGTGTTGTGTAGGGGCGTGCTTATGGGGAGAGGCTCCATAATGTCAGAGTATCCACATGATTCAGAATCCAAACTACAGTCAAAAGCAGGTGGCGTCCCTGTGAGGAATAGCAGTGCTCGTCCTCACATTCCCAGCTCTGCGCTGTGCCCAGGTTCTGTGGTCTAGAACGCAGCCCCTTGTCAAGCATTCCGAGTTAGTTTCAGCACTCCAGATGCCTTATGCACCTTCTCCCTGGGTGTGCACGAGCTAGCCTTTCCACCTGGGACCCCCTCTCTGACTCTGCCTTGGCTCTTCGTCACCCACTTTATTTTCTCTTGGGGTTTCCCCCTTTGGATCTTCGTAAAGAGCTTCCCCTGTAGTGATGCCTGTTGGCACGTATGCGTGTGTGACCCTTCTGAACTTGATGTTGTCTTAAGGGACAGGGCCTGCTTCTGTGTCATTGTATCGCTTTTCCCATCACAGCCTCTAGCACATGGTGGATGCCTGGTAAATTCTTGACTGAAGGAAAATGTTAGTAGCTTTGCAGAATGTGCAACCTGGTGTTGCAAAAAGGGTTTTATGATCTTCATTGCTAACAGGAATTTTAAAATTGCTTTTGAATGTGAGAGGGATAGATAAGCAGTAATGTATTAAACTGGAGAGAGCTGATTTTACTTGGTAAAGGCCTGCAGGGCAAAGAGTGCTGTGGGACTGACTCCCACGTACTGATTAGCTGGTCACTTAGGTCAGGCACAAGCCCACACTCTTCATCCTTTGCAATGGACCCTAGACAGCCGGGCTAAATAAGCTGTAATTGGAGGTGAGCTATGGCCTCGGAATGCTCACCTTTTTAAAGGTTAATCCTCTGGGGAAATCTTGATAGATTCTTCAGGCCATTAAGAAGTGACTGGGAACTCAGGAATGATTTGGCCTGAATGTCAATTTCTGCTAGCTGCTCACTGCAGCCTTTGTAGCTTGTGAAGTACTGTTCTTTCCAGTTGCTTTTCTGCAGTCCAGGAAACTCAGGAACTCTGGACATTTCCCTGGTCCTAGCTATACTGGGAAGTATGAATTTCCATTCCTAATTCTTGAGCAGAAAGATGGCTCTGGCTTCTAAAACTGTTTCCTGTGAGTAGGGGCATCATTCTCCAGTTCTCAGAAGAAAGGGAAGTTACATTTTTATTATGCTTGGGTTGGGGTGGAGACATTCAGTTAAGAAGTTGAGGTACATAGTCGTCATCTGAGTCAGCTCACTGTGCCATTTTGTCCATCCATATATAAATTCATAACTAAATTCTCAGCCTTTAAAAATGTTTAATCACTACTTGTTTTAAAATTTCAGTATTGAAACTAGTAATAATAATAATATCACCATGTCAGTGTTGAAACTTGCAGAAATGTCATCCATGGGAGATGATTGAAGGTACAGCCTTTAGCTCTGCTCTCAGGGATATAATCGTGACTTGCCAGCGAGACTGGTTGCTACTGTGCAGGAACTTGCTTTAATAGACCTGAGAGGATGTATTACTGCAAGAGAGAGTCTAGAGTAAGTACCATGTGGGAACTATGAAGCCCTCTGTGGCAGTGACGGGTAGTATTCTGTATCATCAGCTACTCTGGGACACAGGACAGAGTTTCTTAACTCTTCATAAACTCTCTGCCTAGAAATACTCACCAGGAACACACAATAGGGTACTTGGGGCCCTTGCTTCTATAAATAGTACCAAACACTAGAAACAGTATCTGTTAGTGGGTAGGTTAGACTTTTGAGTTTTGTGGTGTGTGTGTGTGTGTGTGTGTGTGTGTGTGTGTGTGTGTATTTATGTATAGACATACATGTCCTAATAAAACAATTTAAACATTTTTAAACTTGAATATTAAGTCATCAAAAATTAGATTTTTTTTGGTCCGCATTCAAATGAAGACTCATGATGCTGAGTGAAAAAGCAAGTATTGAATGTTGTTGTTTAAATTTTATTGTTTTTTTAAAAACAAAACCATATCTGACTACACCAAGCTATCAACAGTCACGCCCATGTCAGTAGAGGATGATAGAGACTTTTGAGTACATGGGACTTTCATTTGAGAGATTTGCTCCCCCCCCACCCCCCCAGATGCTCTTGTCTAACCTTTTATATACTTCAGACATGTTTTGAAAACTGCTTGAAACTAGGACATTCTACTTGGAAGTAACAAACAAATGAAATACATAAAGTATAGCAATGTTCAGCCATTGGCTAGCACTCCATTAGCCAGGAGGCACGCTGAGTTCTTAAATACCTTTGGCAAAGTAGTTGCTGTAATATTCCTGAGGCGTGAAAGGTCCCTTGAGGCTGGGTTGGTCACAGTTTGTTTGGCCCTCCTCCTAGACCGCCAGCGCGAAACCGTCAACACCAGCTTTTTATTTCTTGGGGTGGGGTGCTTAAGAGCGCACAGAGATGTGTGTGAGTGAGACCATGGCTGCTTGCTCTAATTCTGTTATCCAGTGGTACAACTTCGGTTATACCACTTAAGGTTGGTACTTAAGGTACCAACTGAGGTTGTAAAGTGTACTTACTCCTCTGGAAAGCTGCAGTGTATTGATACCGTTTTCTGACTTTCCAGTCAGATGGTTTCCCTGAGGGAAGCAGAGGAGGGTGTATGTGTCTGCAGTGAGCAGGCCACAGCGAGTCCCGAGAAGCCACTTGCCCTGGCCAGCAGAATGTGTGCAGGCTGTGTAGGGACAGGAGCACTCCAGGTGACACTGGTGTGTACAGATCCGTCGAGAACAGGCTGGTGTGTGGTGTAGACTTGGTCAGCGGCGCCCGCCCGCCCGCGTTGGAGCTGGCTGGCACTTGGGCTCTTCACAGGAAAGCCAGTGTTTCAGACAACTCGTTAATGTGAGTTGGAATACGATTACAGGTCTGCTGTTGTAGAGTCTAGTAATTTATTTCAGCTTTTATCACCCACTTGTCATCCTTGGAAGCTGTTCTTTGTTGGTGATATTTTTAGCCTCTCGTTCGCCTTTGCCAGGGCTCACTGGGCAGCGGGTAATGGCTCTGAGGTATTGGGGAGCAGATTGTCTGTTTTGTGCCAGTTTTCAAGTCTTGATTTTTTTCCCCCTTTGTACGTTGTGTTGTGAACAAGAACAGCAGAGTTGCTGACTGTAACGTTCTTGAGCAACACTTGGAATTTTTAACATTTTAGAGGCTATTAGCTTAACTCCGATTTTAAAAAGAAACAGTAAAAATTCAGAACATTTCATTCCTATAACATAAAAGTGTTTGCATACATGATGCTCGTGCTGTGTGTCCGTGTGTCTGTGTATGTCATTGCTGCTGGCAGTCGAACCCAGGGCCTTGTACATGCTAGACAAGTGCCCTACCACTGCTCTGTGTCCTCAGTCCTATAGTGGATATTCACATATGTATGTATGCATGTTCATACCTCTGTCACAGTGCCTGGCCAAAAACAATGCCTTCAACCTCCTTGAGTTTGAATGTGTATACAACAGATGTTATAGAGAGAGAAAAATGATTTTGGGGCCAGCAACAGAGATTTCACTTGCTGCCTCATTTGAGGAACAAACACATCTAAATGAGGAGAGGGGTGGAGAGGACAGCTGCTTTCTCCCAGATGCCTCAGATGTCCTTGTATTGGTGTGAGCTCTTCACTGCAGGGAAATGGGTGTGACCTTCATTAGTGCAAGATTGTCTTGGTTGGGTTCCTACTGCGATAGAGGCCACAACCAAAAGCAACTTGGGGTTCCTTATTTCATGTCATACTTTAGGTAACACTCTGTCACTGGGGGAAGCCGAGGCAGGAACCTGGAGGCAGGAACTGAAGCAGAAGTCATGGAGGAGTGCTGCTTATTCTCGATACCCCTGGCGTGCTCAGTTTGTTTCTTATACATCCTGAGACCACCTGCTTAGGAGTGGCATCACCCACAAGGAGTTGGTCCCTTCCGTATCAATCATTAATCAAGAAAATGCCCTACAGACTTGCCTGTATGCAATTGGGATGGAGGCATTTTCTTAATTGAGGTTCCTCTTCTGGAATAACTCTAGCTTGTGTGAAGTTGACTGAAAAAACAACAAAACAAAAAAACCATAAAGCAAATACAAAACAAAACCAACCAGGACAGTTGACCCCTTGTCAGTTTGACACACAAACACATCACTTCAACTGTAAACGTTTCTTCCTTGTTCATTCCCATAATTCATATTAATATCACAATGTAAAACATAAATAACTTAAAAAGCCCCCACAGTCTTTAAAAATTCAAACACTATAGAAGTCTAGTTTCTTTAAAATATCCCAAATCTCTCAACTGTGGGCTCCTGTAAAATTAAAAAAAAAAACAAAACAAAACAAAAAAAACAATATGCTACATACTTTTTTTTTTACTCCAAGAGGGAAACACCAGGACACGGTCACATCAAATAAAAGTAAAACCTGAGTTCAGGAGTCTGCTCCGTGCCTGGTGCCTGGGACTCGTGGTCTTCTGGGCTCCAGAGGGAGGCTCCGTTTCTTCAGCTCTGTCATTTGCACCAAACACAGCTTGTCCCACATGCTCAAGCCACTGTCACTCCTCAGCTGTTACTGTCCTTGGTGGTTTGGTCCTGGCATCTCCTGTGTGCTGGAGTCTCCATAGGCTGCACCTTCAGTCATGGCCTCCTAGTCTCTCTTTGGGATTCTGATTCTGCCGCATGGTACACACCTCAGCTTTTCTCCATGACCCCTTCAATCCTGGGGTCTCCACTGTAATTGAGGCTATACCTTCACCAATGGCCTCTCCCGGCCTCTTAGAGTGCCAAGCTTCAGCTGCTCTCCATGACCCCCTTTTGGCTTCAAAGCTAGCACCACCTGTGAGACTCTCAGACACTACCAAGTTTAACTGCCAGCGTGACATGCAGCCCTGGCCCCCTCTGGACCCTGGCTTTTATGCACTGATCCTGGGAAAATATTCCCAGAAGTTTTTACCCCGGTGATGCTGGTCTCTTAATCAGTACCTGCTGGCTAGTTTTATGTCAACTCGACAAAAGCCCGAGTCATTTGGGAAGAAGGAACTGCAACTGAGAAGAGGTGTTCTGTGAGAACACCTGTAAGATATTTTCTTGATGATTGATGTGGGAGGGCCCAAGTCACTGGACAGTGCCACCCCTGGGTCGGTGTCCCTGGGTGTATAAGAAAGCAAACTGAGCAAGCCAGTAAGCAGCACTCCTCATGGGCTCTGCAAGCAAGCCAATAAGCAGCACTCCGCCATCAGTTCCTGCCTCTGCATCAGTTCCTGCCTCCTGGTTCCTGCCCTGAGGTCCTACTCTGACTTCCGTGGATGATGAGCTGTAATGTGGAAGTGGAAGCAAAATAAGCCCCTTCCCCTCCAAGTTGTTCTTGGTTCTGGTATTTTATCACAGCAATGGAAACCCTAACTAGGGCCACAGTTAGTTTCTTAGCTCCAGCTAACCAGTATCCGTTGTTGCAGTAAAACAAAGGTTTCACGTCAATGGTCATTGGTTAGTCATATCTGATTCTCCAACCTGAGCTGATTGGAACCACAGATTCTTAATTCAGAATACCACCAAATGGTCCAAGTGGAGTCCTTGCTTCCCCCTGGAACTTTACAAGCCAGACCTCTGTTGTCTGCCCTGCTTTCAACATTGCGATCTTCTAAGCTTCCACAGAACTCAATGTCATTCCCACCCCAAAGTTCCGAACACTCTGACAGTCCTCCCCCAGACAACATGGTTGTGCCTGACACAGCAATGATCCATAATCCTGGCACCAATTTCTATGTTAGTTATGTTCTTATTGCTGTGATAGACATCGTGACCGAAAGTAAGCTGGGGAAGAAAGGGTTTATTTATTTGAGCTTACACTCTCAGGTAACAACCCATTACCCATGGTTATTTTTATGAAGGACATTTTGATGGCCACAGTCTACCAAATCTTGGTGCAAGCATAAATATACAGCTAATATTCAGGTGTCCCATTTCAGCTTTTAAAGTGTTCCTATGTGGATTCTCTGATCTGAAATTCAATAATAATCTGATGCGACTGTTAATTATCACCTGAGTCTGAGAATTGACAGTGACAGGGATCTGAAAGGTCAGTGTTTAAAGCAATAGCTGGGAGGGTCTCCCCAGAGATGGCAAGTGCAGCAGGTGCAGAATGAAGTTGAATTCTTTGCCTCTCTCCTTCCTCCCACCCCTGGGGACCCCCAGCAGCCTACCAGTGAGACGTGATTTATACTGTCTGGGCTGTTTAGCCACGTGCTGTGGAGGTCCTACGGAGAGCAGTGGTAGCAGTAAAGAGAAGTGGGCACCTCACTTGTGACTCTCTCTCCTGGCAGATCTGTTTATGAACATATCTTTTTATTCTCTGGATCCAGTCTGAGGGCTCTGCCTTTTATTTTCTTCCCACTTGAGTTAGCAGGAGTCAGTTCCCTGACCTTTCAGGTTGTAACATCTCTTGTTTCATGTCAGGTTGCGTCATCTGCCCTTATCTCTGACGGCTCTGAAGTTGAAAGCCCTGTGGTTATCCGACAACCAGTCCCAGCCTCTGCTCACGTTCCAGACGGACACAGACCGCACCACAGGGGAGAAGATCTTAACTTGTGTCTTACTTCCTCAGCTGCCTTCCGAGCCTATCTCCCAAGGTGATTTTCTCCGAAGGACCGTGAGCTGGAGCTAGTGTCTGCCCATAGGGCCTCCTCTTCCCTAGTTTGCTTGCCGTTTTGTTCAGTTTGCTCCTACCAGAAGCAAGGTAGGGGCAAACTGAACCCTACGAAAAGATCACTCGCCTCTGTTTATCATGACTGAAATTCCCAAAGCCACCCTTTGGTTTGGAATTACACAGTAAGGATAAAAGTATAATGCTTATCGGTGGGGTAGCTTGTTAAAATCCAAACTGATATTGGAGGATTCCCAGGTAATAAATACCGTTGGCACGGTATCTTTAAACCAGTGAATTATTTTGAGTCATTATATCTTTGTTTTGTAAATTTTGTGATTTTAAAAAAATATTCACACAAATATCAAAATGATGGTATGAATCCATTGCTGAGAGATACGGATTTGGTAGGAATACTGGAGTCCCTGGAGCTGGAACACTCCAAAATGACTTTGCTAGTCTCAGGAAAGTGTAGCAAAGTGCCATGAGAGAGAGCACTGGCCTCCCTTGACTGCCACCAAACCACATTAAAAAAAAAAAGACAAAAAGCTGTGCTCATTGTGTGAAAAGAGTCAGAGCACCCTTTAGTGCATTGGAACCTTCTATGATGAAACATTAAGCATCCCAATCTAGCAGCTACCTCAGAGGATCTCAGATGGAGTTCCATTATAAAGGACTAATTCTGCCCAGGCCTTTTTGCTTCTTGCTCTCTGTGTTAATGAAAAGCAAAGGTTGGAGGTTGCAGCAGTGGTCTGCCCTCCTTATTTTTGGCGCTGCGGGCCTCCATGTGGATTCTGACCAGCGAGCCACTAAATTACAGTGCAGCCATTCCCAGCCGTGGCCAGCATTCCCGGCTGATGTTGTCTCTGTCCCTGCAGAGAGCCTGCCTCGCTGTGGTGCCCTGGAAAGCCTGGTGAATGACGTCTCTGAGGATGCCTGGAATGACCGCACGGTACACAGGGTCAGTGCAATCCGGTTCTTGGAAGACGAAAAGGATGAAGACGAAAGCGAAACGGTACGGGGGTGGACATTCATCCACGGTGGACTGTGGCGCCTTACGTGGATTTTCTTTGTTTTTGTATAGTACATTTTCCGTTTTGCCTTTCAACATCTAGATTTTGTCTGTTTGTTTGTTTTTTAAACAAAACTAATTCTCGAAGCACCAATAATACAAAGTGAATTTTTGACATTGTTATGACTTGAATGGTTTTGGTGTTTTTATTTCTTTATGATAGTGTCCTCTTCTGTCCCCATATTCTCTCTAAAATTGGCAATTCTCCCCCTCCCTCCCCCCGTTTTTTGTTTGTTTTTTTTTTTATTTTTTTGCTTGTGTGAATGAAATCTCTTCCTGTCTCTAACACTGCTCGTGGCTGGGCTGTGTTCACTCCATTCACATGTCATTATGTGACTCAGTACAAGACATGGCTCTTGTTGGCATACCAGGCCACCATGGCCCTTGTGTAGAGTTTTGTGATCTTGGTTGAACTGTCTTGACAAGTTTCCATTTAGAAATCAGGAATATGTTTGAAGCCCCGCTCTTTGGTTCATATTTGAAAATGTCTCTCAGATGTCCTGTGTTTCAGCTCTGAACTTGATACTGAGTTACACTGGCTGGTTCTTTTTTTTTTTTTTAAGATTTTCATTTTCAGTCATGTGTATGCATGTGTGTTTGAGTATGCATGCTACCCACGGAGGCTGGAAGAGGCTGTCGATGCCCTGGTGCTGGCTGTAGTTACGTGGAGTTGTGATCCATCCAACAGGCGTGCTGGGAACTGAGCCTCGGGTCCTCTGGAAGAGCAGTTATGTGCTCTTAACCACTGGGCCATTTCTCCAGCCCCCACACTAGCTTTTTAAACTCTCTGTGCTAGCTGGGTTTTCACAAGCAGTGCTGAGAGAGGGTGCTTGCGGCCCCCCAAAGGCTGCTTTAAAAATTGTCTTTAGTGGTCTGGGTGTCACCAGAGGGGGCTTTAGGCATCTGCCTTGGTAGGGAGAAAAATGGGAACAAGGGGTGATAAAGGAACTTCAAAGGCGGTATTTCTTTAATGCTTACCACGGACGTTTCGGAGTGTAATTATTTCAGTGGTTGCTTTACTACCTCAGAAATGCTCTTTGTTAAGCTAATGTGTTCTAAGATAGGCCTTTGGAAAGATGGAAACGCTGCTTTGTGAGATAATGAGCACGTCCTATATTAACTAATGGGAAAATGTACCAATTGCCCAGCCCTGTCCCTTTAACTGTCAGCGCTGTGGTCTTTATTAGAAGAACGTGCACTTTCCTCAGAACAGCAACTGGCACACAGCAGCCAACCCAGATGAAGTCCTCTTTTTTGCTTTCTCTTTTTCCACTCCCAAGCCCTGAGGGGTGAAGGAAACCAGAGCCACACTTGTCTGAGTAACACAAGAACGTTCTAGTAAATTTAATTTAGAATATTTATTTATTTTTCTTCTTTATTCTATAATTGTATCTTAAATTTTGTTATTCTCCGTTAACATGTAGAAACTTATTTTATACTAATATTTTAGAATGTATTCCTTTATTCTAAAAGTAATATGTTCTGTCATGACTACGAAGTTACTTTAATGTCCCATGAACTCGGGCTGAGCAGCTGATGAATGCATGTAGCTGGGAAGAAAGCTCTTTTCCCCTGGAACTCGGATTTCTGAAGTTGTAAGCTATGTATTGGAATGCTAATGCCTCCGCCCTGCATGCTTTGAAACAGTAGTGGACAAAACCAAACCCCCGGGCCTCTGTTTGTTTGCAGAGAACACTTCAGAGGCGGGCCACTCCACACCCGGGGGAGCTGAAGCACATGAAAAAGACGGTGGAGAATTTGCGGAACGACATGAATGCCGCCAAAGGACTGGATTCCAACAAAAACGAGGTCAACCACGCCGCCACCGCCGCCGACCGAGTGACCACGTCGGTGTAGCTCTCACCCGCGTTTGGCCTGCTGTGTCTTCCCTGCTGTCAAAAGAGATGTTCCCGTGCGTGCGACTGAGGAGCCTCCTGCAGCCTGTGTTCACCACCCCGTGCCAGGATGCTGCTCTCGCACAAAGTGCCTTAAGCATCCCTCAGTCACTCCGCGTGCCAGTAGCCTCCCATCCTGATTGTTTCTCAGTTTCAGTTGTTCCTAATAAGTAGAATACACTACTGTCAACATCTGACCTTCGTTTTTGTCTTATATTGGGGTTAGAGAGAGCAGGAAGGGGAATTACGGCCCTCTCCCCTCTATTGAGTGCTGGACATTTTGAACCTAAGTTCTTATGGACCTACTGATGAGAGGAAGCTTTATGTATGGAAAAAAAAAAGATACTTTTTTAAACCTTTCTTGGCAGCTCAGATGGTGTAAATTTTAAAATTTTGTATAGGTATTTCGTAAACAAAAATTATGTATTTCTTTGTTATTTTATCTTGAAGACGGTACATATTTTCGTATTTGTGCAGAGAAACAAATTAGGCCTAAAGTATTCGTTTTTATCTGTACCATCCACTCCGTGCCTTACTGTATCATCCTGTCCTGTCACACCAGTTATAACAGTGGCATCCTTGAGCAGCAAGATGGGAATAAGAGTGTGGTCATTTTAAAGCAGTGTTGCATTTTAAGCAGTAATGTACCAGATGGATCTGCCTGTTAACCAAAAAGATGAATTTATCAGTGATTTGTAAGTTTCATCTGGTGACTTCTTCAAAAAGATGAGCCAAAGGATTCGACTGCTGCTGTGTCATTTCACACACTGCCCCTCGTCCTAAGTTCCTGGAAGTGCAGCATCTGACCGTGCCTACTCCGAAGGCATGTGTGTGCCGTTTGTATAATGATGTACAGCAGAAAAGCACAGAAAACAAACAAAAAAAAAAACTGGTTCATAAAGTCAGTGGATCAATAACTTATGTATTGCAGAAGAATGACTCTTAATGAAGAAAGCTTTAAAAGTTTTATATCTAGATAAAAGACCACAATAAAGCAAAATAACCTATACCCTAATAGAAATGTTGCTATCTTTATACAAGTGCACTTTGATTTATAGATAGTTTTAATCAAAGCATAACAAAACACTGCTTCAAGATTTCCTTTTAAATCTGCTAATTTAAGGAGTATGTTTTTAATGTGTTTTTGTTGTTTTCTTTTTATATATGCTGTGATGAAAGAGAAATTCAAAGTGCCAGGTACTGTGTGGTGTCTGAGAAAATCATGGGATTTTTTTTTTTTTCCGGGGTTGGGTGGGATGGGGATTCCCTATGAAATAAACTCATCGTGGACATTGGCCATACAGCTTTTTAAAAATGATTACTTTGTGTGTTCAAAATGGTAGCAGATAATTGAGTTCTTGGACAAAGTGTTTCTGTCTGTTGAGTGTCTAGGTTTTAGCCAGTTTTGAGTAACTTCTGGTGAGACTTCATTCATGAGTCATTTTTCCACACAGGGCAGAGCCCAGAACTGCCTTCAGTGTGGGTTCATCATTGTGAGTTGTGGCATCCGGCCAGTTGGACTCCTTGGAAGCCTGTTTTCTACCAAGCAAATGCAATTCCTTCTCTTCTGTACATTTGTCTTGGGTTACTTACCTGAACACATTGTTGGTATGTCCATGTATAGATGCATTTTTAAAACCCTGGAGGTGAGAGTACATACCATTGAATGGTTTTCAGCTTTGCCTGAAATGGTAGGGACCCATTTTCTTTTCTCCATTTTAATAGTTTGACATACTCTGATTTTAAACCTATAAAACTGATAGTTGTAATTCAAGGACTGATTCTGTGGGAGTCTGTTGGAGTCCAACTCCGACCTATCAAAGGTTCTTGGGTGGAGGAGAGAGAAATGAAGTATTAGTTAGAAAGATAGAAAGAGACAATAAGAAAGAGACACAGGATAGCTTTGGGAGGGCCCTGGGTCAATACCCAGTCACCCTGAGGTTTATTCCGAAGGGCTTTTTTTTTTTTTTTTTTTTTTTGGTTTTTCGAGACAGGGTTTCTCTGTGTAGCTTTGCGCCTTTCCTGGAACTCGCTTTGGAGACCAGGCTCTCCTCGAACTCACAGAGATCCGCCTGGCTCTGCTTCCCAAGTGCTGGGATTAAAGGCGTGCGCCACCACTGCCCGGCCCGAAGGGCTTTTTATAATACACCAAGGGGAGAGGCAAAAGACCTTCCCCTTGCAAGATCAAAGCACACTGTACTGCCAAGTGCAGACCCTTCCTAACACCTGGTAACCACACCCCTGGCCAAATCATCCCATTATGCATCCCTGCTGGGTAAAGCAAGCCCAGATTCTCTGACCCTGAGTAAGGTCTCTCTAGATAGCCTCTGTGGGCTCCCACATAATTCTATGTAGATAAACAGATTTTTATTTTAAGAGAGTCATCTTGACTCTGAAAAACAAACTTTCCCAGTGTATTTTGTTTGTGGTTTTCATATAAAGGCCACCATTTGCCACACAGTTTTATCTTGGCTTTAGTGAATGGGTGGAGGTAGAGACACACAGAGATGGGGGAGGACAGATAGTTACTGTAGGAAATGCATTGTACCTAATTATTTACCTCCTTCGGCCTGTTTCCTTTATGCCCTGTCCACAGCCGGTTTGTTCTGGTTTGAGTTTGGGGCTTGAGAGGTTTTGTTTCATCTTGACCTTTTATGCTGGCTGGTTCTGTGGTGCTCTAAAACTCCGGGGTGATGGCTCCAAACTTAGGCTCTACGGTGCAGTCAGCACCAACTCAACATCCCCAGCCTGAGGATACCCAGACTTTCTAGGAAGGGAAAGGATGTGAAAGCTTCCTGTCCAGTAGTCAAGTTCCTGACCTTTTGTTGGGGTGTGGAGGGGGGCGGGGGGGTGGGGGGTGAGAGTGGATAGCATGAACCACTCTAATCCCTGCCCTCCCCTTCCTTCAGGAAAGGGTGGAATTCAGTCTTGCACTGACTTCCGTTTCTGGTGGGAGTAATGGGTAAAGGTAGAAAAAGATAATGTTTATAAGAGCATATTTACCTGCTTCCCTTTTCCACAATCTTTTATTTCCTTTTTTATCAAGTGAGTTGTATGGATAAAGTAATCAAACAACCAAACCCACAACCTGGAGGAGATGAAGCCAAAGAGAGAGTCACTGGTGATGAAAGTGGTGACCAGCAAGAAACTGCAAAATGGTTACCAGCATGTTGGTTTTCTTCTGGAAATTTTAAAGGGCTGTGGATAAGCAGCCAACTCTTAAGAGTTTGCTAACTGGTTATCTGTGAGAGCAGAAACGCTAGGCTTTTTGCACGGCGGCCCATCTGCCATCATCTGGGAGATTGCCATGCCCATGAAGACATAATTAATGGATGGGTGAAGGCCAGGAAAAAGAAAATGTCTGTGTCAGGAAGTGACTCTGAAAAGCCAGTCCTGTCCCTGTGAAACTGCCCTCCTTGTGCCATGGGTGCCCCGACAGGTGTGTGGTGAGGGACTTTGTGCTGGAGCTGCGGTAAGCACAGGTGACATCCTCGGAGAGTGGGAATCTCACTTCACCAATTCCTGCTGACTGACTTCACCCAGCTTCCCAAAGAGCCGGTTAAAACATTGTTTTACAATAGCCCTCAACTTTTGATTGTGGGAAATCGAAGACATACGTGGAGTTATATAATGGGCCTTGGACATGCCTGTCAGTCAGTGTCACCAAGTATCAACACAAGATGAAGAGGCTTGCTTTTTTAAAGGGACTGAAGTTATGTTTTAATATATATGCAGGATGACCACATGTGTGCTCAAAAGAAAGGAAGGACCCAAGTGTACTCTTTGAAATATCATTTTGGAGTTAATTTTTAAGTCAGGATGCCAATGAAATCATAGGTTTGAATCCCAGCCATACCACATGGATTTGATGAAGCGATTTAGCCTCTAATAGCTTAGAAGGGGACTAAATGGAATATATGGAACACAAGCTCTCAGGAAATTGATGGTTGCTGTTATTACAGGCCCTGCTGCTATGACAGTGATGTCATTAGGAGCTCTGAAATCCGTACCAACCAGTAGTATGTGAGCAGGCGGGCAGCACTCTTAGGAGCATGCACTACTGGTAACTTGGCCTAAAATCTCTTCTATTGTTTAAGATAGAGGCCCCCACACTGTATGAGGGGAACTCAGCAAAAATTCGCTGGCTTCAAAACTGTCAGTCCTCCTGCCTCGGCTTCCTGATGCCAGGGTTGTAGACTTGCACCACCCTGAGAAATTCTGATTAAGTGCATTTGAATTGGTTTAGTTAATGGTTAGGTTCCCGTCCGTCTCTGTCAAACTTCCTCTTTTGGCCTAGACTTAAGAACTCCTCTTAAAGCTGGGCAGTGGTGGCACATGTCTTTAAACCCAGCACTCTGAAAGCAGAGGCAGGCAGATCTTCTATAAATTCGCAGAGCGAGTTCCAGGACCGCCAAGGCTACACAGAGAAAACCCTGTCTGGGAAGTTTCTACCAAGAAACCGTTAAATACCTAATCAAGGAGAAAACTCTTTCTGACAAAATATTTTCCATTTTGCCATGACCTCACTTTTATATTTTAAGTCAAATGGGATTCATTTTATTCCTTATCTCAACCTTAACCCTGGCTTTTTATAATTTCCTCCCTTTTGACATACGATGTTCTGTCTCTTCTCTCAAAGGAGCTCCTGGGTTGGAAAGGATCAGGAGGGAAAGTAGCTTTAAGACACTCATCAAAAAAAAAAAAACCCAGGAAACGATGATGCACGTGTTAGTGCAGCCTGAGCGGGGAGGGTGGAGTCGCCGCTCCGCCTTGCTGCTGGGTGTTTAAAAAGCCCAGACAGCTGGCTGGAAAGGGAGACTAACAAGAAGAACCTGATGGGGAGCCTGCTAAGCTGCAGGCTGCAGGAAGGACTTTTGTTCTTGCCCATTGGCCAGAAGGACCATAATTTTAAACCATGAGAGCAGGCTGGCAGTCACTATGACAGGCAAGAATCTGCTGGGGTTGATTTTTTTTTCCTTCCATTTCTTTTGAGACATCAACATTCAACATCTAAAATGATGGGCTGCTCTTGGTTAGGTAGGAGATACATGGCTGCCGCTGCCTCCAGGTGCCTTCCCACCAAGCTAACTGAAGATGCTGTGCTTTCCAGAATGACCCTGTGAAGTAGATCCCAGTTCCACTTTGCAAAGCCATGAATTAAGATTCAAACGATTTCATAAATGATCCCAAGATCAAGCCGTAAATCAGGGTCAGAATCTAAATTTGCTTCTCTGCTGACTTGCATCTGCAGTGGCGGTTTATTTTCCTTTACTTCCCTCTCCCAGCCACAGCCGTGAACCTGCAATTACATTTAGAGTTGTATTTATAGTGAGGAGGCTTCTGTCTTCGTGTGCTCAGGTAATGCAGGCCTAAATTATGGACAAACACAGGCATGGAACTGCATGAGATTTATGCAGAGCCGGGTCTTCATTTTATCTAGTCTTGGTTGTTCCTGCCTACCTCTCCCTCTCTGCACACCATGGTGTCCTATTTAAGTGCTGCAGAAATCCCCATGGGGTCGATATTCAGCCATCTCCAGTGGTGTGAATCATCAGACACTTGGGAGATAACTCACTTGGTTAGTGCATGACCAGAACAAATTGATGTTTCCACGTTAGCTGGAGTCAGCTTAGGAACCTGCTCGCTCTCGGAATTGGCATGTTCCACATATTGGCAGGCAGCTCTAGAGTGGGCCCATCGTTTAGGAATGGATATATTTTTTTGATCATCACTACTTGTAATAGCCCTCCCTTGGAGAGAAGTCAGGTGCTTGAAGATCTGCACGATGCATCTTGACCTTCCCGTAGTTAGAGGATGAGAAATGTGATGGAGAGTTTCTTATTTAAAATCTGCCTTCGAAAAAGCTTGCTGTGAAAGATGTACAAACTGTATTGCTCTTGTGTAGAGACTTTTAGAGAAGCAGAAACAAGATAGCTTGTGGAACTATCCTGTCTTTCACGGTCTTTGAAACCGGCTCTTCTGCTTCCTGCAGTCTCCACAAGTCAAGAGACCAGCTTAGCTTCAGGGTGTGGTAGGGGGACACCTTGCACCCAATCCTGCATGATCCCAGAGAATATAAACGCCACTCTAGATGGCTGCTGGAAGTAGGTCTTAAAGGTACCGACTCCAGTAAATAGTTTGGAAAAAGCTGCCTGAGTGGCCTACCCTGAACACCTGAGAAGGTATCCTTGCAAGT